GGCCGCTGCTCACGAAAAAACAAAGACTGCCCATTAATAACTCGGTGGGGTGTTCCCCGGAACGCTTACGCGTCTGTTACGAGCCTAATAACGATGTAATAGGGCCGAGAAAACGCGGCGGGAGAGACCAGCTCCGAGTCGAAGAGGGAGATCGCGAACGAGAGTGGGTGGGAAACGGAGTTACGGCCGGAGGGTTTCTTTCGTTTTTTTGCCGGCACGCGTTTTCGAATTTTCTACCTGGACTACGGGAATTCGTCGCGATTTCGCGTTCTAGATCGGTTCGCGTTCGAAGCACGATGTGTAACGAAGAAAAATGTCGCGACTACTTCGACCGAGCGTCGGACGGTCTACGGCCGCTAATCGAGATCTATCGCTCGCTCTCGGAAATCAGGAGTTATACATCCTCCCACGGGTTTAGCTCCCTTCGACCTTACCCTCTTCCTCGATACCTTTCCTTCCTGTTACCTCGAATTACGCCTCATCGATATCGGATCGTTGCTGCGTCGTAGGTAATTTATATCTAGCGCGAGTGATTTAGCGGAAACGCGCGTGTTCGTTCGTTTCAGGAATTCGATAAAATCACGGTTTGCCTGTTTTATCCTCGAAAGCACGGTGAAACAAGTGCGCGACACCTGGTCGAGACGAAGCAGGCAAAGCGTACCGTATATGCGGTAGGGTGCGAGGGTACCCCTTTCTACGGCTGACTAAAACTTTGATGGCTCGTTGAGTTTTCGAGACGACGCCCTTTCGTCCCCTGCTCTCGTTTCGAAACATCCTCGGGGGGCCTCGTAGTGTTTGCTTTATCCTCGTTAATTATTCCGATCCGACGGTCGCGACGTTAAGAAACGTGTTCGTCGCGATACCTGTTCCGAAAAGTTTGCCCGTACTTTTCGGGTTCCGATCGAATCGCGTACGTCGTCGGACGTCGCGTCTCGCGATCTTTTTTGACGCACGTAACAACCCCGGATATTTTTGCACGCTGATGGGTCGCCTTCGTCGTCCGACTACCGAACTCTCGTTAAAATTCATGAGCGTTCGTGCCTCTCTCTCTTTCACCGCGTTGCTCGCGAGAGCTATAGTAGTTGGAGCTTTCGTATGCGATACGAACGAACTCGAGAGCACGGTCGCGTCGACTCGCGGACAAAGTATAAACCGCACTGGTTCAACGCATTTACATCGCGGATTGGCGCAATACTAGTCGCGATGAAATATTTACGAGACATTTTTGCAACGTCCCGCGACGCTCGGAAAATATCGCGTTCTCGATCATCGCTGTCGGAAACGTTCTCTTCGACGGGCTCGATTCGAAGATCGAAGGGCGAAGGTTCCTAAGAGTCCCGTCGCTCGCGGTCAGGCTCTCGCGACTCGATTTCGCTCGTTCGACGTTTTGCCCCGTCAGAAGCGGGACCGATGACGTCGGAACGTTTAAAGCGCCGCTAAAAATAATGCTCGAGGGATTAATCGTCGCCTCGCGTCTCTCCCCGTCGCTCTTTCCGACTCTTCGCGCTCGTTAATTCCCAACAATTTGTGCCGGCTCGAGCTGCGCGAAGATTCGACGCGTGGAAACGTAGGATTCGAGCGGGTTAAGAGTCCGTCTCTTAATTGAACGCTCGAGTTACGGCTCGACCAGTAGTCCTCTCCCTGGTGTTCCAATTACAACCGCGCTAACGATATTTACCATTGTTAGGTCGAGCTATTCTCTTTCTCTCTCCCTCCCCCCTTCTTCTATCTTTCGATTTGCCACTGCCGCGATAACGCGCTTAATCCGACGATAATTTCTATTCGTGGCAATCTTAATTATCCGCTACCTCCTGATTTCCTTTTTCCCTCTATTTTCGAGCAGCTTCGCGCGCTACGTGGCCAGCTAACTCGCAACGTTTCCCGTTTTCCGTTTCCCGTTTCTCGTTTTCGTTCGCTCGAACGTTCGTTACGGTCTCTTATCCCGACGATTCGCCGAGACAAAAGCTTTCTTATTCGTCCGTTCCTCGCCACAGTTACGCAGCATTCTCGAAAGCGGATCGTCCGGAAGATTGGCCGAAAACGTCGCGTTCTCGGCCCTTCGTCGATCGTTGATTTCGGTTCCTCTAGACTCTGGACGAACGGAAACGTGACCTTGCCGGAGGCCTCTGAAACTCGTAACTCGACGCGCCACACCGGTACCGTGCGGTTACGATCCAGCCATTGCTTTAATTACAGTTTCTGCTCGTTTTTCTAACCAACGACCGGTTGCTAGTTTCTCGGCCGAAACGATTATGGCACCGATTCTCGTTCGCGACACCGGCGGCTGGAAAAGCGAGAAAATTGCCGCCCGATAACGCTCCGATCATTTCATTCTCGTTTCGTCTTCTCGCGTTTTTCTCTCAACAACCGCGTTCGAAACGCGTTCCGAACGTTGCGCGAGTTTCGCTCGTTAGCGACGAATCGAGCGAGGGACGAACGATGGCGGGACGTCGACTGGCACGATCGACGACGCGTTTTATCGAGAATCATAGAAACATCGAGCGTCCGACTCGCCAGAGCGTGCATACGCCTTCCACGTTGGACGTTCATTGGCGTAATCGCGGTGATTGTCGGCGATCGCTTTATTACGACGAATTGATTTTGATGTCAACCGATGTCAAACGGTTGCGAATTATCGTCAATTTGTCGCGTCTGTCTTTCGTCGTGTTCGATCGAGACGATCGAGAGCGCGTTATCGAGAGCTGATCGACCGATCGCGGAAGGTTATCGAGAAACTAACGAACCCTCGTATCGACCGGAATTCTATTTTATCCGGAAACGAACGTAACGGGCAGCCGCGTGGACGAAAACGCCTCTTCTTCCTAACGGCTCGTAAATCGTCGCCGACGATTGGCCGACGATCCCGAAAGCGAGACTCTCTCGAACCAGATCGAACCGAATCGCCTCGCTTGTCCCGGACGAATCCGTCCGCAGGATTTGCCCGAGATTAAGTTCGAGAAACGAACATTAATCTGCCGATTACAGCGGCTCGGGAACCTCCCATTCGCGGTACCGCGTCTGGAACAAGGTTCTTCGTCTTTGGTTATTGCGCAATAGTCGTTCGCGGTTCGACCTCGACTACCTTCACGATCGCCGCTCCCTTTTCTCTCTTTTCGTTCCGTGATCGGCGCCCACCTTCCTGCTTCCCCGTTGCCCCAACTCGAACGACGTCCGGCGAACGTCGAACACGAAATTCCGAAATTAACCGTGTCCGAGTTTCGTCGATCCGTGATGTTCGGAAACGGTAACGCGACTTTGGCGAAGGAAAACGACGCCGATCGAGTCGTAAGAACGGACGAGATCGAACGAAAAGCGTAGAAAACGAAATTGGTGAAATTTCGAAACGTATTCCCGATCGCGCGAGAATAGGCGATAAATTAACGAGGCATCGAAACAGATTGAAAAATGTGAACGTTTTACACGGAACGTACTCGTAAATTATTTCGCTCGAGTCGCGCACGCGAACGTGCGTCCCGTATAAAAATACATACATATGTATGTTTTCCACGCGTCACGATGATAACGTTAATTTCTCGCTTTAGACTTCGAGCTCGCGAGTTTCGATCGAGTCACTTCCTTTACGTAACATCGAGCAACTCGAAGGAATCGAACACGGTGGCGAGCTCGTTTCGAGTCGTTTCGTGAAAAACGAAACGTCGCGTTGCTCTGTTTCGCGATGGAACGACTCGACCAGGCTCGTCGACAAAAAAGAAGTGGAAGAAGACGGAGATGGAGACGAAAAAGAAGAAACGACGAGCGTGGTCGGTCGCCTCGGCGCGAACGTTTCTTCAAAATGCTTGTTGTCTCAATTATAGTAATTGGTCGCGGCATGCGAGTAAACTAGCGTTCAAGACCGAGCTGTTATTTGTCACGAATTACACGGAACGAGTTCGAAGCAGTCGCGTCGCGTATTCGAATGGATACCGATCGCGTGCTCCTTCGTGTCCGATGTCGATCGGAGCCGGAAGAACGAGAAGGAGAATCGAAATTTCGACGAAAAGACTCGTGCGCGGTTTTCGCGGACCCGACGAAAGGAGGAAAGGAAATTTAATTCCGGTCTCGCGGTTTGAGGTACACCCGCAAGGGGCTTCGTGTTCTCGGGGTCTCTCGTTCTCCCTCCGAGTCTTACGGTTTTACTTACCGACTTACGGACTTATGCCTGGCGTACCCTACCGCGTGCACCGAGAAGCCAGACATTCTGCAGCCCGGCCGCTTCGCGGTTCCCGGCTAATCGCTCTAACGAGATCATATTATATTATTCCGACTTTGCTAATCTTTATTAATCTCGTTTCCCTCGGAAGCGCGCGACGCGTTCCAGCTCGCGACCGAGTCGATATCGTTTGGCCCGCGACGAAACGCTCGCTCGCCCCGAGGAGGAATTCGGCAAGCGTTTCGTCGACACAGGATCCTCGGAGTTTGCGAGTCGGAAGCGTTACGCGAGGTGCACGCGAGCGGTACGCGCGGTATCTAACGCGTATTATGCGCGTACATCGGCGCGTGCACCGAGCATAGAGTTACCAACCGAGACGCATCCCGAACGCATCCTCTGTGACCAATTATCTCGCTAACGAAGCCCTCGCGCTATCTACGCACCGCTCTGCCCGAACAACGCCGCCTCGCGGCGCCGAGCCGCACCGTACGACTAATTAATTATAACAATGTCGTTAATTTTACGCGGCCGACTCGAAACGTTACTGACCGAAGCGTCCCGCGTCTCGCCACGCCGCCTTTGCCCTCCTTTTCTCCTCTTTCTTTCCTCTCTCGGTACTTCCTCCGCCCGTTATCCTTTTCCCTTCCTTTCGATTCTCGCCTCGAGCAGGACACTCGCTCGTGGATCCGCAGGACCTCTTCCGCGACGTACGCGTCGCGTTCCGAGCCAGCATAGCGCATCGAGTGCGAGTGGAATGGCCGCGAACGAGGCGCGGAGCAATGAAAATTCAATGACGCGAGCAATTTGAGCTCTCGAGGGCCGCGCGAGCTGCAATCTGAAAGTATAAACAGTAGTTGTTCGAGTATTCTACCCCTCTCTATCTTTCCGTTTCTCTACACGTTCACCGTTCGTCCTCGCTCTCTTTCCTTTCCACCCTTATCCGCTCCTCTCCGTCCGACCGCGATTTCCCCCTTTTCCCTTTTGCCCCGATACCGTTTCACCGTTTTCTCTCGCGCTACCGTACCGCGCATACGTAGCGTCTCTCGCGGTGGTTCGCTCGCGTACCATAATCGCGTAATTTGCGTGTAACGACGCAATTTGTAGTTACGGCGACCCCTCGGTCTCTTTCGCAACATCGACAGCGACAACGATCACGACCATCGCGAAGACGACAGTCTCCTATTCCAAGAAGCGAACCGTTTAATCGAGTACAACGTTGTTCTCGAACGCGTTCGTCGTCGAATAAGCGGCTAGCGATCGGATTCGCAAACGTTTCTTCGATCGATCCTCCTTCAGCCGATCCAAGTAGTCGGCTTAGTTAACGACCGAACCGCGCTAATCTCGAAACAAGGCTAAATCTCGGCGAAAACGATCAGTGGTATCGGCGTAACGGAAGGAAGGCTCGCGATCTTCGATGAGTATCGCCAGCAACGTCGAGGGTATTCTCTTTATCGGGATTCGAGCGTTTTCGTACAGAAGACGCTTTGTTGCCGCGATATGAATTGCCTCTTTATCAGTTCCGAGTACCGATGATTCGCCTCTCTAGCCATTTACCAGTCGCGTCGATCCGTTTGTCGCTACGTGGCAGCGATCGAAACGTTCGAAATCGAAATGCTTTCCACGAACGAGCCACCTTAGGGGGCTAGTCGGAGCGAACTCTTCGAGGAACGGTCGGTGCAGGCTGGCGCAACCGGGACGACGATACGATACGATACGATTCCTTCCGAATCGACCATTTCGACGTCGCTCGAATGAACGCTTAAAAGTTCCGTTCCATAATATTTTCGGTCCCCGATCTTCTCCTTTCTCGCGCGCGAGCGCTCTCTTTATCTTTTCGCCTCGCCTCGTCCCGTTATCGCGTTTCGGACGTATCCCGGATTCTTCGGTCGCGATGCGAAGGAAAAAGATCGAGATTTTAATTTGTGAAACTTTGCCTCTTTCTAGGATGCAAAAGCTTCTTCAAGAGAAGCGTGAGGAGAAACCTAACTTACTCGTGTCGAGGGAATAGGAACTGTCCCATCGACCAACACCATAGGAATCAGTGCCAGTTTTGTCGATTGAAAAAGTGCCTGAAGATGGGCATGCGTCGGGAAGGTATGTATCGAAGATCGTCGATCAGTTAGCGATCCAACGGATTTCGTCGAACAGCCGGCCGGCTTTAAAATAGAGCAACGCTCGCGAATCGGCTTCGTAAGATCAAAGTTCATCGAGACGGAAACGCTTCTATTTATTTGCAACGAACGGATTCGCGAGGCGAGCGTCGCGCGCTAAAGCTCGAGCATCCTTGGAACTCGTCGCGCTAACGCGGCACGAGTGCGCTTATTTATATCCGAACGCGTTCTCGTTTCTCGCGGTCGCGCTCGACTCGTACGCCGCTCCGTGCCGCCCGTTTTAGGATCGGCCCGTACCGATACCGATCCACGCGTTCCCCGCGCACCACCACCGACGATTCGCTTTACCTGTCCGATTCGCCACCG